AAAAAAAAAAAAAAAAAAAAAAAAAAAAAAAAAAAAAAAAAAAACTTAAAAGACTAATTGAGTTGGGTTAATTGGGTCGTCAAATTTTTCAAACATCCCGAATGTATCGACACCTTTTTCTTTTTAAAATAAAAAATTAGATGTTTGTGTTGGATGATGAAAGTCTCGCGTCGGCTAATTTAGGGAATGATATGAGTTTATAATCAAGAAATATTCTCTTCATTGGTATGAAGTCTCTTGGGGAGCCCAAAGCAAAGCCACAAGGGCGTCAACGTAGACAATATCATACCATTGTGAGAGTCATGTTCATCTAACATGGTATCAGAGTCATGCCCTAAACTTAATCGTGTCAATAGATTGGTAAATTCTCAAATCTTGAACAAAAGAAAAGGAGTCGAGCAGAATGATCGGTTAGGGAAGCTTAAAGCAAAGCCATGAGAGCTTATGCTCAAGGTAGACAATATCATACCATTGTGGAGAGTCGTGTTCATCTTACAGTTTGGGGAAGCCCAAAGCAAAGTATGAGTTTATACTCAAAGTGAATACAATATCATATTAGGAGGGAGAGTCGTGTTCATCTTACCGTTTGAATATACAGAGGTAATGAACGGTGGAGAATGATAACTTTAATCAACATTGGAAAGCAAAATGAAGTACTTAAGAGATTGTACTTTAAACAGCATCAATAAAGGGGAAGAACACACAGTAAACCCAAGGAGAGAAAGTGTTGGGGATCTTTTTGGTTCGACAATTACAACACAAATTACTATGATTCCTTCTTCCATTATCATTCATTCATCCGACAATTACTTTTCCCGATTTGTCTTCTTCCACTTCCTTCAATCCCCTAAACCCTAAAAATCGACCTCACAAATCCCATCGTGTGGCCGCAAATCCGCGCCTGTTTTTGTCCTTCTTTTCTTCCGTGCATTTCCGGATTCAAATCATGTGCATCTTCTTGATCTCTCTCTTTAATGGGTCCCCTGTTCGATTCTGTAATGCAATCATGGAATTTCTTGAAGATTAGTGTTCTTCGCTTTGATCCTTCCAGTTCTCCCCGAAGTGATCGTTCATGCAGCGGATTGATGTCGTGTAAGTTTTCTGATGCTTTGTGCTAATAGCTACTGTTTGTTGTTTGTAATCGGACTTGGCCTTATTATTGTGATGTGTCGTTGTCAACTAGTGGGGGTTGCGGGGAAATGGTGGCTTGTTCATGGCGAGTGGTAAGGATTTAGGCATGTGGAAGGCAGAGAGTGACTGTTCAGTTTCTTGACTCTTAATTTGTTCTGCTCTGAATAAAGGATGAAAGACAATTTTCTGGTCTAAATTGTTGCTGTGCTTATCATGGAGTAAACTCTTCTCTTACCTTAGTGATTCAACAGGTTAAACAATCATGTTTATCATGATTTTGCATGAACTTTTGCTAATTTTCAGGGGAAAATCATTAAGTTAACTGGGAATTCCATGTTACTGTGTATACAAATTCATCAGCCTTCTCAATCATTATCTTGTTGTTGTTGGAACTCTTATCTTGACCGTGGTTGAGATGTGTCACGGTCATGCTTGTTCAAGGTTGTTGCCCATGGTCGCATCCTTGTTACGTGCCACAACCCTTACCATGTATCACTTTATCGCTTTCTTTTACTGCTTTCGTGATGTATAATTTTCTTCTTGTCTTTTCTAAGTGTATGACGTTTCAACAGAGTCTACGTCGGGTAGACATGAAATTGCTACAGGGAGATACGACCGGTCGTCAACTCCTCCCACCTAATTGAAATCACTTACCTCACATACTCACATCTTGAAGTAGCAGAGCTTGATAATGAATAAGTAAGTAGTAAGGTAAAGCCTGATTTCCCTTCATATTTCTCTTATCCATGAATTCCACTGGACTTCTTTCCCATTACCCTTGTCTTAACAATGAATAATACTGCTTTGATTCAATACTTGCATAAGAATTTCTCCCATTCTTGACACTTTTAAGGAGTTTGACATTGTTCAATCAGGATGTTTAACTGAAGCTGATTTAGTAACTTCATAGTCATCGCCTTAATATCACCCGACTCTTATTGGACCATAACTCTTGTAGAGCATCGGACGTGGTAATCCCTACTCCTTATTTTTTCCTCTCGCTGGGTAGATTGAAACTAATTGTTACCAATCTAGATTAGTAATATTATATCAACATTGTTTCTTAGATTGTTATTGCATATTTGATGAAGCAGATAGCATAAACATGGAACAGTTTCCTTCAGTTTGATTGATTCTCTTCTTATCCATTCAAACTATATAAACCATGAGTTCAACGAGGTCGATGGACGAAACTTGAGCAGGCCTCTTTCCTGTCAGTCTATAGATAAGAATCCAATGTATAAAACTTGAAAACTTTTCACAGTGGACCATAAATTTCATGTTCATGGTTAACTTTAAAGTGACATTGATTCCAAATATCCTTACCCAACCCATTTGGATTCAGACACAAAATGTGAAGAAGTGGATGCGTGAGATAACATTCAATTTACAAACGGTTAGATCCCACGTCGGTTGGAGAGAGGAATGAAGCATTATTTATAAGGGTGTGGAAACCTCTCCCTAGTAGAGGTGTTTTAAAACCGTGAGACCGACGACGATACGTAATGAGCCAAAGTGGACAATATTTGCTAGTGGTGGGCTTGGGCTGTTACAAGTGGTATCAAAGCCAAACACCGAGCGGTGTGCCAACGAGGACGTTGAACCGCCAAGGGGGGTGGATTGTGAGATCCCACCTTGGTTGGAGAGGGGAACGAAACATTGCTTATTAGGGTGTGGAAACCTCTCCCAAGTAGACGTGTTTTAAAACAGTGAGGCTGACGACGATACGTAACGGGCTAAAACGGACAATATCTACTAGCGGTGGGCTTAGACTGTTACAAATGGTATCAGAGCCAGACACCAGGCAGTGTGCAGCGAGGACGCTGGACTCTTAATGGGGGTGGATTTTGAGATCTCACATCGTTTGGAGAGGGGAACGAAGCATTCCTTATAAGGGTGTGGAAACCTCTCCCTAGTAGACGCGTTTTAAAATCGTGAGACTGACGTGATACGTAACAGGCCAAAACGGACAATATCTACTAGCGGTGAGCTAGGGCTGCTATACAAACCATTTTGGCATTGAGCATACAGACAATTTTTTATTCTTTGTTGATTCTGTTTGTGACGAAGGATCTGTTACCGGTACTTATAGTGGTTTTTGCCATATTCAGGTCGTCCTGCAACATAATCTAGGATCCCTTCACCTGCTGCTCTTACACCATGAATTTCGGTTCCAACTTGGAAACCACCTGGAAAGGCAGCGATCATTCCGACCAAGAGTGCAGCTGTGGAGGCAAAGAGAAGCCAAAAGAACGCTAGAAACAATGTCAGAACCACTGAAACTGCTGCTACAACAGTTATTTGGTCTTTGTTTTGGAGAACCTTTGTTTGAACGTCCATGGAGATTGAGAAACAGAAACAGAGAGGAATGGCTATGAGTGATGATGATGCTTTACTGCAAAACATTGTATTGATCATGAGTTTCAAAACTTGGTTCATCAGCTTCTTATTTTGCATATAGTCCGTTATTGTGAAAATACTGAAATACCCTTGTACAGTCAGTAGATATTTTTGTGGGGGAGTTGAAGGAGAGGGGGAGACAGAGGGGTTAATGAGTCAAAAAGACAGGGAACAACTGGAAACGTGGGGACAAGGATGCTTGATCAGATTGCTGTCTGTTTGCTTGATTGGTCGGTTGCCTTGTCCCTTCAGAGAAGTAATCACTTTATTTCCATATGGATTGCTGGGTATTATTGAGGAAAAGAATGACATCTTTTCTCTTCTTGTGTATATCTAATCCTTTGCTCAATCAAAGAACAATTTAGAGTAATAAACAGTATGATTATTCTGCTTTTGAATTGTAAATCAAGAAGGATTGGCATTAATAATGGGTTTCCATTGATACTAAGTGTCATAATCCTGTGTTGCTGACTCAAGCTAAATTAGGATTGCAATTAGGATTGCGTTATCTATGGTCTGGCAAAGTATGCTCAAGCCTCTCTAGTCTCGTTTTGTGAAGGTTTTAGAAAATGGGGCAGAGAGATTTTGAAAAAGAGTTTGAAAGCAAGATTGAGAGACCGAAAACAATGTTATATGATAAGCAAAAGCAACACAACAACTTAAATAGCATAGCATGTAACTTTTCGGGTAGGGAGAATTTGACAATTAGTCACATCCTCTGCATTTTGAGGCGATTCAAGTCTACAGACCTAGTCGTAATTTCGCCGAACGGTCATATAAAATCTAGGTGGAAGGAGTTGACGGCTGGTCGCATCTCCCTATAGTACTGACGTACTGGGGCGAATTTTCAAATCTAGTTCAAAAAAGAACCCCAAAAAAATTTCTCAAAATTGAGTTTTGCAACCCAAAAAAAAGTTTGTATTAGTAATTTCTCTCCTTTCCTTTCTGCGCTTGTAGTTTTGCCTTTGTAAGATCATTTGCTTGCCAGATTCCTACAAATGAAGCTTGAAGTTCAACTTAATCTCCATTATCTCTGTAAAGCTACACAAGTTTCCCTCTAAGACTCCATTCAAAAACCCTTTTCTTCTGAGATTGCAGACAACGTCGGTCGCCATTTTCGACACTCTCTACGGGGGCTTGTATAGCCGAACAATCTATGTCGAGATTGCAACTTCTTAGCATTTGCTAACAGCAATTTAAACTGTTCCTTAGTTACCACAATCTTCACCTTCCTCGCTCCCGCTCCATCCGAGTACACTATCTTCGAGGAAACCAGAAGCTTTTCGAGCTCTTTCAGGCATGGAACAACATCTCGAACCTCCCCAACTTGGAGGCTGGTTCTTGTTGAAGAAGAAAAATCATGGAGAAGACGGTCATTACAGCATTCGGTGGCAGAATCGACCGTTGTAGCCAAATCAGTGGCTTTTTCGATACCTCGGAGCTTCTTCTGTGGCGACCGAACACAAGGCAAGACAATGCAGTTTCCCATTTGTTAATGAATGGCTAAGAAAGGGATGTCTAATGAGCATATATAGCAGTTTCCGATTTGTTAACGTGCCAGCCATAACACTGCTTCTCCATGACCTGTGTGAATATAATAATATACACAGCCAACGACTTCAATTGGGAAGACAGTACCATGTTATGAGCACTACCACAGTGTTCAGACTGGAAAATTATAAACAATACCCAAGGATCAAAGTCAATGGCTTTGACATTTTGTTTTAGAATTGCTTGGCACAAACAAAGTCAACAAAGAAGAGATTAGCCGTAATGTCTCATTGTAACCGCTAACCGATATTGTCTTCTTTGGGCTTTCCCTTTCGGGATTCCCCTCATGGTTTTTAAAACACACCTACTAAGGAGAGGTTTCACACCCTTATAAAGAATGCTTAGTTCTCCTTCCTAATCGCTGTGGGATCTCACAATCCACCCCCTTTCGAGGCCTAGCGTCCTCGCTGGCACTCGTTTCCCTCTCCAATCGATATGGGATCTCACACTCACAGAGGTCAAATACGTTGTATTGACTTGTTATTCTTTTTTTTTCCTGAAAAGAAAGTGATATTCTTCAAGAACATTTGAATTTTTTAAACTCAATCTAACAACATACAAGTTATTAGGAAGCAGTCTGAGACTGAATGAACCATTCTAGTTCCAACATAGGTTCCTCCAGATGCAGCTGTAAACACTACAGAAAGGGAAAAAAGACAGACCAAATATGGTAACTTATAGATGCATCTCAACTCTTGAAACAGAAAACTAAGGAATTAGCAAGTTTATATGGATTGTTACCTTAATAGCAGGTTTTCGAGAGTCGATTTCGAGCGTCACAACTAAGTAATCCATGGCCATTCATTGTGAGATAGTCTTCTCCATCTCTTCAGTATCCTCTAAACTTCTTCCACCTTTCCCAATGGCAATTCCTCTTCTTTCCTCTTGACATCTCCAGGACAGTGCTCGATATCAAATTGTTAGGACTCGAGCCTAATTCGTTAATATCGTCAACTCTATGAGAGGCTTGGATTCTTCTAATTCTAAAAGAAATATCTAAGCCATGCTCCACTTGTTACATATCCCCTACCCTTGTTGTTCAGAATTTTATCATCCAAGCATATTTGAACTTGATCGTTCACCTTGCATTTCTATCACCTCCCTTAAGCTAGCGGTTGGCTTGGGCTATTACAAATAGTATCAGAGCCAAACACCGGGTGATGTACCAGCGAGGAGGCTGAGCCTTGAAAGGGGGTGGACACAAGGCGGTGTGCCAGCAAGGAGGCCAAGTCCCAAAGGGGGGTGGACACGAGGCGGTGTGCCAGCAAGGACGCTGGACCACAAAGGAGGTGGATTGATGATCCCACATTGATTTGAGAAGGGAACGAGTGCCAGCGAGAATGCTGGGCCCCGAAGGGGAAAGGTTTGTGAGATCCTACATTGATTGGAGAGGAGAACGAAACACTCTTTATAAGGGTGTGGAAACCTCTCCCTAGTAGACGCGTTTTAAAAACCTTGAGCGAAAGCTCGAAAGGGAAAGTCTAAAAAGGATAATATTTGCTAGCGATGAGCTTGAGCCGTTACATTTCAGGTGTCAACTAATACAGAAAACTAATCTTGCACAGACTAGAAAGGATGTACGTTGAGAGTGCTAACCAAGGACAAAAATATACCGTAAACAGTTAGCAGTAAGCAAGAAAGCAGAGAGTTCGAATATCCATCTGACATTCATATGAACTATATACCCTACAATAAAAGAACAAAGATAGCAGAATTCTTCATTGCATCCTCCAACATTAAGTTCTCTTTCAAGAAATATATGGCCGATTCAAAGAAAGAAGAAAAAAGGGTTTAAATCAAAAGATATCACCACAAATATTATGGGACCTTTCAGAACAACCTATGCTGCCACTAATTCAGGTGAACCTCTAGACTCCAACCATGATTTTGCTGCCACTTTAGTCGTCAAAAACCAACCAACCTTTTCTGGAGCCTCATGGAATGGAGCATTTAGTTCCTTCAGATGCGATTCAAAGACGCTCGACAAACCCTTATCGGAATATTTGTGTTTTCCATGTCCAGTATTTATTCCAAGTAATGGTGGAAGTTCCTCCCCGGATTTCAGTTCCTTTGTTAAGTCATTAATCCAAACGTGTAATGCAGTGAGAGCAGCCCCAAGAGAAAGACCCTTAAGATATAGAGACCACTGAGTTGGAGACCTTGACTGTAAATCTGTATATATCTGAACCGAAAGCCCCAAATCCAGCAGCTCACATGCCTTATCCAAAAGATCTAAATTTACACACAGATCAATCAAGCAATTGCAGTAGGCTTTTCTCACATCGTCGCTCACAACACTAAAGAGTTCCGAGGCTTCAGTTCTGAAATCTCCTTCCATGTCCTTCTCCCCTAGCAAGAGTTTCACCACGAAACCAAGTTTTGGATTAGCTCTCTCGACACAATCTATTAGCTTACTAAGTTCATGTTTCGGCGTCTGGGTAATTACATTGAGAAGACAGCCACAGAATCGGTCGTCTGGAGTTAATCCCAACTCTAGCAATCGATCAAATGTCCTCACTACATCATCAACACGTTTGGCTTTCCCATAACACTGGATTAATGATGTCAAGACAAAGATATTAGGGTCGAAACCGGCTTCCATCATCTCGTTCAACATTTCTTCTGCCTCTGATACGTTTCCACTGCAGGAATATATGGTGATCATGGAAGAAAAAGTCCAACTGTCAGGTGAGCAAGTCCCAGAACTCTTCATATCTTTAAAAACTTCAATAGCCTCATTAACATAGCCAACATCGGCACACATAGCTAAAAGCGTATTGTAGAGAATTACATTCAACTGCAGTCCCTTTTCCTTCATCTCCTTGTACACAAGCATGCCATCCTCAGCATATCTGGCTCTTGCATAGGCACGTAAAAGAGAAGCATAAGTTGCCCAACTTGGTGAAAATCCATTCTTAGTCATCTCTTTGTAAATTGTCTTGATCTGCCAGGGTCTTTTAGCCCTACCCATAGCAGCCAGCAAGCTGTTATATATAGCCAAGTTCGGCTTGATGCCTACAGCCTTCATTTCTTCATACACATTCAAGCACCCATCATAGTTCCCAGCCACTCCATGAATTTTGATCATCGTTGAGAATGTCGAAAGATCGATACGCCAGTTTTCTGTTCTTGCACGGTCATACAAGCTGAAAGCCATGTCCACATTACCAGCACGTCCATAGGCATCAATCATCCCAGAGTAGGTGATATTATCAGGATTACAGTCAAAACTTGGCATCTTCTCAAACCACTCAACAGCCTTATTTGGCAATGAACACAACCTAGCACAACTAATAATTGTAGAAAATGTCACATTATCAGGCTTAACTCCTCTCTCAAGCATTTCGTCGAACAGTTTCTCTGCACCCTCAAAATCTCTGCATTTCCTAAACACCTTCAATGTCACATTATAAAAAACCGCTTGTTTACTTGATTTCAACACATCCTGAAAGTACCGATGCACAAGCAATGCAGTTTGGGAATTCGACATGTTATTCAGCACTCCAATAGCGTCCTGCTCTAAAATTTTACTATCTATCCTCTTCAAGACATCGGCAACATCAACCTCACAAGGATTACAAGAGTCCAAAGACTCCGATATTTTCTTAAGAGAAGCATACCTGGCTTCGTACGATTGCTTCCGAAGCTTCGAAGCTCTGGGGCTACTGGGATTGACCCAAACGGAGGTTTTGGACGAGGAGCCGGATTTACCATCTGGGAATTTCGAGATTTCATCATCAGAGGGGCTTGGATTCCGGGTTTCTTGAGGAGCGTATTCCTGTTGCGACACAT